TCAATCAAATGCAAAGCGGAGGAAGTCTCTTGTCTTGCCGTGTGTGGGGGTGAGATGGGGTGAGTAGCGAGTAGTGTGTGTAAGATAGAGATAACGAGATCGATTTCAGTTCTTCCGGGGCCCAATAGGCATTGGGACTTAAGCGGCAGTGACTCTACATGGAGCTTGGACCACATTGACATGGGTGAGGTCGGCATCTGGATCCGTAAGACACAAATCAACAGGGGGACTCATACACAATTTGACTTGATTTCTGTGAATTTTTACAGGGTGTTCCCAGGTTTGGGACAAGACACCTTGGATCCTTGCCAATTACCACATCTTCCTTTGGGCGGCTGCTTCTAGCTGATATTTTGAATTATCTGTCCAATATCTCCACAGAAATCATGAACCAGGCGACATCAATGGTCCGCGTGGTGTTGCGGGGCTCTTAGCGTGATTGCGGGAGGCAAGAAGAAACGTTGTCACATTTCGGTGACGTAGAACTAAGCTTACTTATGCTTACTAGGGAGTACAGGATAGGATTTGGGGACCAATGATACGAACTGATATGAGCTGCTGTCAATATTAGCCATTTTAAGAGACCCTTAGCAGTGGACATAGTTTTCTCTGTTGTCGTTTAGTCTAGTCTAGTCCCTAACATAGTCCCTAAAAAGGAACCGCTGTCAATCAAATTGTCTTTGAAATATTGGCTCTGGCCCATATAGGGACTCCTACAAGGATCGAACGAACCGCCATTAAGTAAGCGGGCCTATGGAACTGAAGTGTGGCGCTGTGAGCTTCTTCAAGCGATAGGATGGTTGTGCAGGGAGGGCCCAATGGGGAGACCCCAATATATAGGCCCCCAAACACTAGAACCCTTCTTATAAGTAACCCCAAACAAAGATCCCTTGAAAACCCCCAGATCTCAAGCATAAGCTTACTACAGGCTCAGGACTCAGGAGCTGTGACCAAGCTTAGAACATTCGGGAACAAGATAAGGACCACTTTCCTGCAGCCCACCCCTTTGGATTATGACCGTTTAGGGTTTAGGGTTTAGGGGATCAAGCTGCTCAAAACAAGCTCAACGTAATCCTTCTGAGACACCTTTGTGAGCCTTTTACCATCCTTGGGATGGGTTTGCCCTCTTGACAGGACCTCCGTCTACCCATCATGTACCCTAAATAGTGACCATATACCTCTATTTGAAGTACAAGGGAGCGTCCTGGTTGAGAGAACCACTAGGACAGCTGTCCTATCCCTCGTCCTGGCCAGCGGGACAGTGCTGCTGCCGTACTTGTCCATGGTTCATAGTCGAAAGCAGAGACTTCTCAAACGTATGGATTCCAGGTTTAGCGGGGGAAGGGAAAAGGATCCTTCTAGTGATCGCCAAATCACCCCATAAGGTCCTTAAAGATTATTTCCCCGCTCCTAATTAACAAGCATGAGCAAGCTTCCGGGTCCCTCGTTTGGTGATTTGTCCCAAGTTTCATAGGGGGACATGGGGCCACTTCGGATCATGGTATCCATCAAGTACTCAAAATTTATTGGCCCATCCAATGGCAGGCAGTTGCAAACACCGGATCAGGCTGGGCCGGAGTCGCATGTCATAAAGGTGCTGCCAAAGATGTGGTCCAAAGTTAGCTACAGTCCTGGCAAGCACTTTGCTGTTCCAGGAGTCTAGGGACCATGCTTGTCCTGGAGCGTAAACGGGAGCGGGGGAGTGAGTATAGCTAACATTTTAGGGGTATACATACATATATATATATATGTATGTACTTATATATGGAATATATAGGGTCATTATAGGGATCTAATTGTTGACCGGGTGAAGTACTTTTGCGCGTGTCTTAGCCCGCTGCTTCAAAGCTGCCGTCTCCGCAGGTCCAAGTAGGGTAGGTAGGTTTTAGGGATTAGGGCTTAGGGTTTAGGGAACTTTGCACTGAAAGAAGAATTCCCAGTACTCCCTAGTTCTTCCCAATGATCTCCGAGGACTCAGTGACTTGTGCAGGGTAAACCCTAAACCCTAAACCCTAAAGGACTCAGTGACTTGTGCAGGGCATACAGATGATCTGATTGACAGCTACATCAAGGCACCACCCGTTGCGTGCAGAGGGTTTTTTTTTCTCAAAAATAACTATAATCCCCCTTAAGTAAATAGAATATTGGGGTTATATTGGGATAATGGAAAAGAAAATGGAAGCTACTATTTAGGGTTTAGGGCTTAGGGTTTAGAGGTCCCCCTTAAGTAGAGAGAAGAGGGCTTTTGGGTACCTTGTAGTAAGATCCCCATATACCCATCTACTTAAGGGGGACTATATACTTACACACTTATATAGTCCTTAACCCCCACAATCCCTTTGTGCATCTATCCCCCAGGCTCCATAAGAGCTATAGTCTAGACTCTTAGTATCCACCTTAACAACCCCCATAGTAATCCCCGACATATTCCTCTATATGATCCCCTTTTAAGGAATTTAGACTCTAGCTCATGAGGGCCTTTGTTTATTTCAGAGCCTTACCGTCGTGAGCCGACTTCTGTCAAGGAGACTGCTCGCCACCGAGATGAGGAGGCTGTAGCAATGAAGACCTAGGAAAAGACTCAGGTTATATCGAGATCATAACCAATATCCCCTACAGTTACCATTATAGATAACAGTTCGTGTTTCGTAGCCTACTGAACGGTGTTGTTTTCTCGAAATTGTGGATCCCAAGACTATGGATCCTTCTACTGTGGGTGCTCATATTGCATGGATTACTTTTGCAGTAAGATGAAGGGCCGCACTATGCTTTTGCCAAACTCCCATCTTACGGGTGCCGACCTGGATGGGCCCCACCAGGCTCATGCGCATTCCCGGTACGGTGAGGAGGACTTGGCGGCATGTTGCTTCATGCCGCTGCGGTCCCACTGGCTCACCTTCCCCCTACTTGGTTGGGAATATGTTTAGGGTGTAGGGTTTAAGGTCTAGGCAAGGGATCCAGATGGTGCCCTGCATACGGTCCATAGAAAGCGCTCAACATTCCCTGCTCAGCATGAGTAAGTCATTCTGGGCCACTTCGGCAATTAGATCCCTAGAGTAGCCCCTATATTATATGATCTCCAGTATTCCTTCATTCCTTACTAGCGACCAGCAAGTGAGTTCTAAATTCTGCATCACTGCATATCCTTAAACCCCACTTTCCATTTTTGTTGTTTCAATTTCATTCTCCGTTATCCCAAACCACTATAGAGTCCCTACATATATGGTAGTTTCCCTCACTAAATAAGGGGATCCCAATATAGACCCCCAAATACTATGATCCTTATTCTAGGGACACCCCAAAAAGTATCCCTAATTTGGGGAAACTCCCGTATAATCCTTACCCTAAACCCTAAACCCTAAACCCTAAACCCTCAACCCTAAACCCTAAACCCTAAAACCTCTTCAGGAGACCCGATCCACTTCAGACAGCTCAGCCAGGCCGCACCTTCGCAGCGGCCCGAGTCTCAAGCAGAAATGGGAGTGTCCCAAAAAGGGGTAGTATAGGGGATGCATGGGGTACATAGGTGCTACATAAGAGTTACATGGGAGTTATATGGGGCCTCAAAAAGGGGTTTGGGGTTACATAGGGGTTACACAGGGGTTGCATAGGGGTTTTGTTGGGGTTCTAGAGGGGTCATATAGGGGATATATAGGGATATATAATAGAGGGATCTTGCAGGGATGATATGGCTCGCTCTGGCTGAGTTAGGCAAGGTATTCTTGAGAGCTTCCCAAAAGGTGGTGCTTGCAGCTGTTGCTGGGCCTCTTGAAGACGCTGCAAGCTCTAAACGATAAACCCTAAACCCTGAACCCCTAAACCCTGAACCCCCAAACCCCAAACCCTGAACCCCCAAACCGCAATCCCTGCAAAAGCCCCCAAACCCCAAACCGCATTTGACAGATGAGGCCAGCCGCGTGACAGCAAGGCCTGCTTTCCTTTGATGTTCTGTGATTCACATTTGGGGTTTTGCTAAGACTCTGCGGGACTACAGGGGGATATTTAGGGGACGATACAGGGGGGTACATATTTGGGACTGTATAGGGGGGCCATTTTGGGGGCTATACAGGGGGTTATAGAGGGCACTATACAGGGGGATGGGCAGGATCTTGGGTCCTTATAATAAGGATGCTAGTATTGTGGCCGAATGGGGTCACTCTATTATTTGGAAATTATCACCTCTGATGAAGGTATCCCTGTTCCTTACACGCAGAATCTCTTGTAGTTTTCCCAAACAGGGGGAGCCCAATATAAATATCAAAATATTGTAATCCTTGTTTAGGAACCCGAAAAAAGCACGGCTAATTTTGGGAACTCCCCCGTCTTTGTCATCCCAACCAAGAGGGTTACTCATCCGAGAAAGCACAAGTGTTTCTTTTCCATGGCATCGTTTTGTCGACATGTCCAGGTCGTGACAGTCAAGCTGGATTCCGAGCTGCAGGCATTGTGAGCAAGAGGATGAAGCCTGTTTGCTGAGTTGAGACATGAGAGCCGCGTGCTCCTGCAGGTAGCTGAAAAGGCATGAAGCCTGAAACGGGGGGACGATTATCACAGTGAGTGTGCTTTGCCAGCTTGGAAAAGAGGGGATCTTTTTGCACGTGGAGAGCAAGGAAGCAAGGTTGAACTCAAGGCAGGATCGCCTGGACAGGATGTGCCGGCCTGGCGCCGCTGGTTCACAGCCTTGCGAAAGTTGTACAAGGTCTAAGGCAGCACATGTGCAGGATGGGAAAAGATATGAAGCAATTCACGAAGTGGATGCACAGTGCCTGCATGCCTTGCTATGGTGGTTGAGTTTATGATGTGTGTTCTCCCATATGCTACCAAAACAGCTACATCTTTCAAATGGGAAAGCCAAGATGGGCTCTGGACCTCCTGACAAACAGTCGTCCAGGGAAACTTCTATCAGCCCCTGAACGCCCTTGCATACTTCTCAGAAGTCTTCAGAAGGATGTCAACAATACGTTCAAAAGCCCAAACTTCAAAGCCTAAATCTGATGAACATGTCGGGCCTCTTGGATCATCGTGGCTTGCCGGAGGCTCGCAGCATAAGCTACGATGCCAATAATAACACCACCCCTAAAGAACTTGGGGGGCGGGGTGGGGATCGTAGTACTAGTAGTTAGTAGTTCAAGTAGACTGGAATCTATTACCATCAGGATATTTTCGGGCAGACAATGTTGTTATTGCCGATGGAACTTATCCATACATTTTTTGTGCTCCGAACTTGTTAAACAGCAAATGTAGTCTTCCTGGAATTTTCTGGCTCGGCAACAATATATCATTGCCGCCCCCTTTACTAGTGGGATGGTAACATTACACACCCCTAAGGATGGGCATAGGGTTTAGGGAGACTTCCGGTTATATAGGGATTGTATCATAGGGACACTTCTTGTGCATTATACAGGGTCTACCCACAAGCATCCATCCCTTCATTCCTAGGAGAGATTGTTGCAATGTTGTGCATTTTGATCTGCAATCCTGTTTCTCAGGCCTCCTACGGTGACTTCCTGTCCGGGCAACTTGGCAGTCTGTTGTTACAAAACCCCTCAGCCCTTGATATAGTGAAAATGGAAACTACTATAGTATACCCTGAGAGTAATAGGGGTCCCCCCTTCAGTAGCCTTATCATCGGTATAATTGGGACCTCAAAAAGGACCCCTCATTGTTGGCAAGCTCCATCTCGAAGTTCGAGTCTGGACAGATCTAGAGACACACAATGCAAGCTGCGTGTGCCGCGAATCCAAGGCACCACGAAGAGGAGATGGCTGGGGCTTTGCCGAGCCATAAGCAACAAGCTGGCATTGGGCCTGTGGAAGACGTTGAGCGGACGTCCCTGGCGACTGTCTCTGTTGGTGAAGAGTGCCTCGTTTGATTTGGTCTGTGGAAGCGGGGATTTCACTTGTGAGCCGGTTGCTTTTTAGTGTTTTGCCTGGACATTACCTTACACTGAGACAAAGGTTGTAGATTCGAATGTTCTCAATGGATCCGCAACGCATTTTGCAGATTTGCCCAATGGTTCTCAAGGGAGGGTGGGAGAGTCTGCAGAATTTCCATGTCCCTGCTCAGATTGAGGTGAGCTTGTGGGGAAGATTGCATTCAGAGATGCGTGTGCCGCGAATCCAAGGCACCACGAAGAGGAGATGGCTGGGGCTTTGCCGAGCCATAAGCAACAAGCTGGCATTGGGCCAGTGGAAGACGTTGAGCGGACGTCCCTGGCGACCGTCTCTGTTGGTGAAGAGTGCCTCGTTTGATTTGGCCTGTGGAAGCGGGGATTTCACTTGTGAGCCGGTTGCTTTTTAGTGTTTTGCCTGGACATTACCTTACATCGAGACAAAGGTTGTAGATTCGAATGTTCTCAATGGATCTGCAACGCATTTTGCAGATTTGCCTGATGGTTCTCAAGGGAGGGTGGGAGAGTCTGCAGAATTTCCATGTCCATGCTCAGATTGAGGTGAGCTTGTGTGGGGAAGATTGCATTCAGAGATGCGTGTGCCGCGAATCCAAGGCACCACGAAGAGGAGATGGCTGGGGCTTTGCCGAGCCAGAAGCAACAAGCTGGCATTGGGCCAGTGGAAGACGTTGAGCGGACGTCCCTGGCGACTGTCTCTGTTGGTGAAGAGTGCCTCGTTTGATTTGGCCTGTGGAAGCGGGGACTTCACTTGTGAGCCGGTTACTTTTTAGTGTTTTGCCTGGACATTACCTTACACTGAGACAAAGGTTGTAGATTCGAATGTTCTCAATGGATCCGCAACGCATTTTGCAGATTTGCCTGATGGTTCTCAAGGGAGGGTGGGAGGGTCTGCAGAATTTCCATGTCCATGCTCAGATTGAGGTGAGCTTGTGGGGAAGATTGCACTCAGAGATGCGTGTGCCGCGAATCCAAGGCACCGCGAAAAGGAGATGGCCGGGTCTTTGCCGAGCCATAAGCAACAAGCTGGCATTGGGCCAGTGGAAGACGTTGAGCGGACGTCCCTGGCGACCGTCTCTGTTGGTGAAGAGTGCCTCGTTTGATTTGGCCTGTGGAAGCGGGGATTTTGCTTGTGAGCCGGTTGCTTTTTAGTGTTTTGCCTGGACATTACCTTACACTGAGACAAAGGTTGTAGATTCGAATGTTCTCAATGGATCCGCAACGCATTTTGCAGATTTGCCTGATGGTTCTCAAGGGAGGATGGGAGAGTCTGCAGAATTTCCATGTCCCTACTCAGATTGAGGTGAGCTTGTGGGGAAGATTGCATTCAGAGATGCGTGTGCCGCGAATCCAAGGCACCACGAAGAGGAGATGGCCGGGGCTTTGCCGAGCCATAAGCAACAAGCTGGCATTGGGCCAGTGGAAGACGTTGAGCGGACGTCCCTGGCGACTGTCTCTGTTGGTGAAGAGTGCCTCGTTTGATTTGGCCTGTGGAAGCGGGGATTTCACTTGTGAGCCGGTTGCTTTTTAGTGTTTTGCCTGGACATTACCTTACACTGAGAGAAAGGTTGTAGATTCTAATGTTCTCAATAGATCCGCAACGCATGTTGCAGATGTCGCTGTTTTGTACTTGCCATTGATGTTTGATGGTCTGCAGAATTTCTTGGCCTGCTGGAGAGATTGAGCTTGTGAGGCTGCATGCAAAACGCTGGTGCTGCGATTCTAAGGCACCATGTAGAGGAGTTGGCAGGGGCATTGCCGGACCAGCAACTGGCCGCCACTCAGCCAGAGAAACATGTGTTGCTACAACCCCTGAGTGCCGTTTCTGCCGGTGAAGAGCCCCTTGTCAGCAATTTCCTGCGTGATTTGTGGCCACTACACCTTCTGTGTGGTGCATCCAAGACATGATGACTGGCCAGATTGACATTGACATGCGCGCAAATCCAAGGCACTGCGCAGAAACTGTGGCCAGGGCCTTGCAAAACAAGAAGAAAATGGAAACTACTACATCATAATAGGGTACATATTGGGGTTATATAGGGATAATGGAAAAGAACAGGGTAACTACTGTGATGGGTTATATGGGGGATACTGGGTAGCCTTGCAACAGTCGAAAAGAAAACCGAAACGACAATCCAACGTGGTAGTTTTCCTAGAGTAGTAGTTTCCATCTTCTTCTCCATTATCCCTATATATCCCCAATACATACCCTCTTACAACATAGTAGTTTCCATGGATGACATTGGCACTTGGCCCAGGCCAGGTGTGATGACGTCGGACCTGTATGTTTTGACCGGGAGCACGTTGTCAATGGCGATTCAGGCAAGTCCACATTACGTCTTGTGGTTGCGAAGGTTGTGCATATATGTATATATGTGTATACTCATATTTCTATCTGTATATCTTGTACGTATGTTTACATGTATATGAGTTTGAAGCTCCCTCTCTCCTTCTGTGCACTCACCCACGGTGCATGCCTTGTAACCGCTTCACACGCCCGTCTTCTACCCTGTAGCGGAGAGGGATGGTTTCGGCTTTAGTGCAGTTCATGCAGGCACATCCATCCAATGCCAGATCGAGGCCGGCATCAGGGTTGTAAAGCAGTCGCCTCCCCGAAGAATAAGCCTACCCACTGTGTAGGGAACAATTGCTATTACAAAGGAGGGGGGCTTTGTTTTCAATTGAAGTTGAGTCCCCCCATACCCCTGCCCAAAGCCGCAGCTGTAATTGACTTTGTACACTACTCTCCATACTTTTACTTATGGGTCATGTCAGGCTTGTATTCATACACTCTGGGCCACCTCCCTGTAGAGGCAGCTGTCGCTGAAGCAGTCTCCAGCCGATTGGAAAGCCTTGAAAGCGAAGTGAGGCTTTTGTCATCTGAGCTTGTAAGATGTCGCGAGCTCGTGATACAGTTCTCTGCGACAGAGAAGGCTGCATTTCAGGAGAAGTTTGATGCAGTACAATTGCAGTTTCAGACGTCCTCAAGCTACTTCGACCAGAAGTTGGAAGACAGCATGCGCCAGTTGAAAGAACATGTCCGGCTTTCCAAGACTCTCATGAACTCCTGGTGCCGCGGGGCGGCAGCAAGAGTTGCCAATTGTGAAGAAATGGTTTCAAAAGCTGCGCTCCAGCCTGTGAGCACCGTGAGCACAGAGCAAGACGCGGTCCTAAATGCTGTCATGGGGCGAATTGAACAGGAAAAGGTCGAGCGTGAAGCTGAAATGTTATTGATGAAGCGTGACTTGAACGAGCTTCGAGGCGCCTGCGCGCTGCGGCGTCCTGTGAAGTCTGCAAAGACGCGAAGTCCAAGTAGACGCATTCAGAATGCTTCGCCCAGGAACAGGCCGCTTTGCAGAAGGCAGGGTTGGGCCAGTGCGTCCTTCAGAGCTCTCAGCTCCCCTGTAACTCACCAAGAAAATCACACATTGTCTGCCAGCGTTGATTTTGCTTCCGAGGAGAAGCGCGGCTCACAAGTGGACCTTGGAAACCCTCAAGACTTGGTCCAACAGGTTTCGGAACTGCAGCGTGAGCCGCTGCGAGCAGAAACTGGGAAGACAGGTGTTGAGCCGCTGGGTCAGGCTCGGAACAGCTGGAGCCCTTCATCGACCTTCTCGCCTTGAGATGGTAAGCTCGGGAGTCGCTACAAAGCTTTCAGCCGCGATTGGGACAAAGGCGCCAGAGATGCTGCCCAAGTGGGGGGGACAAAAATTGAGGTGCAGCAAGCGATGCAAAAGCGTTCAAGGCCCCTTCTGCAAGCAAAGAACAGGGTTCGTAAGATGAAATTTCAGACGCAGCATGACTGTGCGGTGTCTGCCGGACCTCAAGAAGCCCCTAGGTATTGCAGACCAGCAAAAGCAAAGGAAATTTGCAAAACGGCTGTTGGAAGGCAGTAGAGCACTAGCCGGGGTTGTTAGACACAGTTGGTGAGACCGGTGCCAGTGCTTTGCCGCGATGGTTGCTGATTTGAGTGCTACAAGAAGCCAGATGCAGGCAGGTCCGATGTGATACTTTATGCCAATGTAGTTGCGACTGATTTTGCCTTTCGCATGGTTGGCTCTATGAAGCGGCGTTGGCATTTCCTCTTGATTCTTGCGAAGCTTTCCAAGCACCAGCACCTCAGCTTGTAGATGTAGATGCCCGCAGATGCAAGCTCACCGGTCGCACAAGCGCGCACACACCTCTGGTTATGGATGCGCTCGGCACAATGGCAGTGCACAACCCGCGGAGCACGCAGCTCTGCCACGGGGCGCGCCCGCAGACTTACAAATACAAATCATATCGAGAAAGTGTCAGCTCACCCTTCCCCGTGTATCCCTCCCCCTCTGAGGACTTGCTAGGACTTCTTGGCTCACGCGCTTAAAGATAAACATATATTACCAGGTGTGACATTGGCCCGTTTGTTCCTGATGCCTTGCCATTTTTTATCTACTTGAGCTTGCGGTGAAGTTTTGTACTTCTTGTGATCTTTGCAGCTGTGCGTCAAACGTGAACGTTGCCATTTTTTGAGTATGCAACCCTCCCATTCAGGAAGACCGGACCCTCTGTGTTCCGTAGATTCCGTAGTAGATGCTCTAGTTTCACTGCAGATGTGCATGTAAGGCTAGGCGCAAAGCATATGCTGCGTGCGTGCGTTGTTTCCTTGCCGGGAGAGCTGTGTTCAGGGCCTGCAGGCCGCCTGCATAATAAGTACATACGGGTCCGTCCTTTTATTTACCCCCTACCTAATCTCCGGTGGGGACCCTGGCTATGGTCCTGCAATCCACGTATTCCTAGGGTCCGTGGGCGCCCTCCAGTTTGAGAAGCTCCCAAACAGAAGGACCCCCAAATAGGACGCAACAGCACTCAATTTTCTCGGTATCGAGAGGGCCCAGCTATTGCCAGACCTTCAACAGCACAACTGTAGAATCTTCGAACCCTCATCCCGGCAACGAAGATGGTCTGCCCGGCAGCCATGCGAGCTATAGTTTAAACTCCTTACAGCGGGGTTACAGTGGGGAGACTTTATATGGGACCACTACATTCAGGGGGACACTACGGAGTTTGGACCATAGCTCATGTTCGTTCATCCCTTGCAGCGGCCGAGACGGCCCTCACGCCCTTGTGTCAAGAGTCAGTTTCCCAAGATGTCCCCAGCCTTTATATGAAAGCCGTATAGCCTGCGGGTTCCTTGAAAAGGTCCTGAAACCCATTGTGTTAGAACTGTTAGAACCGTTGGGGCGCAGCATCCAAAGTCCATGGCGTGCGCCAAGCTGGAGTGGGCTAGTATACAGCAATAAAGATTGAGCTCATCAGCTGCCACCTCGATTTGGGTTCCAACTTGCGTGCAGGCCACCATCGGTAGATTCTCATTGAGGCCGCAATGTGTGTCCCAGCTTCGAAGGCAGGAGGGGTTGACCAGCTGCAAGTGCAGTTTGCTAGCTGCGCGCATGAGTCTCGTTTGTCTGGTTTGCGTGCAGGCAGACGGGCAAGCTATTGATGAGCGCCGCCATTCGCGGCGCGTAAGCTGCTGTTCGTGGCATGTACGCTTCGCCAGAGAGCTTTCACCATCTTTCACAGGAACAAGGGAGTGCTGGTGTCTCGCTATGTGTTACGGATTAGTCCCCCTTAAGTAGATAGAATATGGATTTGGGTATGTTATAACAAGATCCCCATATACCCCATATTCTATCTACTAAGGGGGACTATAGCCCTAATATAGATCCTATTACAATATAGTAGTTTCCATGTTCTTTTCCATTATCCCTATACAACCCCAATAATATACCCCCATATTCTATCTACTTAAGAGGGACTATACCCTAAACCCTAAATAGTAGTTTCAATTTTCTTTTCCATTATCCCTATTTTCTTTAAGGCAAAGGCCCGGCCGCAATGCCGCTTGGCTTTCGAAGCACGTTGGAAGTCCTGAATAGTATAAAATCTCTATATGACCCAGTATAGTAGTTTTCATTTTATTTTCCATTATCCCTATATAATCACAATATAAACCCCCGAAGCTCTGTCGTTCCTATTGCCTTAGCGAAATCGTGCGAGGAGTAGTGGGGGTTAGCTCTGAAGCTGGGACTAGGTGAGTTTCAGGGTTTTAGTGGCAATGGTTAAGACGGCGGAAGCCTGACTTTACCTTCTTTGCTTGCTTGCTTGCGCGCGCGCAAACCCTGAGAAAAAATGATATTGGCTTGGGTTCGCCAGGTAGCATTCGTTACCGTTGGTGTGATGCTGTGCGTGCATGGCATCATGGTCGAAGCCGTTTTAAACATTTTAGATATTCGTAGGTCAGGCAGATCACTTCTTTTCCAGAACAATTTCTCCTGATATTCGCACAAGATCGTTCCTGTCATATCCAGCCTGTAGGCCTTCACAAGCTAGGCTAGGATAGTCGGCTTGCGAGATTTGGCCAAAAACAGCAGAGTAAGCGCGTATGCTCAATTGCATACCTAGGTGAGCTAGAAGTAAGATTTGCTTAGCCATGTTCACCTTTGATTTCGATCTGCTGGAAGAGTTTAGCCAGGAGGAGAACAGGGCGTGCGACTACAAAATCCTGGGCTTGGATGGTGGCGAGTATAACCTCACCCTTCCTTTCAAGACAAAGGTATGTGAGGTCAAAGCCCGTCTGGAGAGCAGGTACGGCATTCCGATATCAGAGCAGCGATTATGCCAAGGCCTGTCGGAGTTGGAGGATGACTGCAGGCTTACGGCAGACATGGCAGACTACCCATCCCTTTCTTTGGTGCGTGTGAAGATGGATTGGTCCTCCCGTCTGAGGAGCCACCCCTTCGACTTGGGCAGCGCGCCTGAGTGCATCCGGGGAGATAAGGAAATGGTACGCGAGGCTGCGAAGAGCGAGATCTCGGCCATTGCCTATGCTTCCGCAGACCTTCGAGCGGACGAGGAGTTTGCCATGTCCATGGTCAAGGACAATGGCTTTGCATTCCAATACTTTAGTCCTGAGCTGAGGGGAAATAGGGCTGTTGCGCTGGCGGCGGTGGAAGTTGCCGGTGCAGCGTTAAAGTACGTGGCCACAAGCCTGCAGGCTGATGAGGAAATAGTGCTTGCTGCAGTTAGACAGGATGCTAAAGCATTGATGCATGCATCCCCGGAACTGGTAAAGAATGTGGACTTTGCTAGGCGAGCTGTGGCCAACAATCGCTTGGCAGCAGAATATGTCCAAAGTCTCTCACTGGACAGCAGAAAACGAGAGTCACTGCGCAGGCAGCAAGATGATGACAAGCAGCGGTATGAGCGCGACATCGAGGAAGCCAAGATATCTGTCGATGGTGCCCATGCACTTTACCAGCGAGCTGCGATTTTCCTGGATGCACGGTCGAACCAAGAATTTGACAGGAGCCACATATCTGGGGCTCTCCCCTTTTCTGAGCAGACATCTATGCTCCGCCATGTCATCATGCACAAAGGTCTGACGTCAACTGCGGCATCAGATGCAGTGATGCAACGCCTGCGCACTTTGCCGGACCATGCCGTGATTGTTTACAGCGACAGTGGATCAGACGACATCAGTCTTGGCTACATCAGCCGTTGTGTGCGTGTTGCGCAGGAGCTACGTCGCGCCTGCCGCATTGAGCCTTCGTTAGGCAGCTGCCACCGTGTTCGTCGGTTACTTGGTGGACTGAACCAATGGAAGCGGCAAGGTTTCCCAACAGATGGCGACCAAAGACCTTTGATCAACAACAGCATTCTTCTAGAAGGAGGAATTCATGCCTGCTTGGGCCTGGACTCCGATTTGTAGAAAAAGTGGCCGAGCTGATCCCTGTGCGCATCGTTTAGAGAACGGGCTGAGGAGTGGGAGGCACTTGACTCACTCTGGGAGTCAAGTGATTGGTACAGGTTTGATCTATAATATAATATAATGTACTATACCGCAATATACCATATCATACCATAATATACCATAATACACAAGAATGTACTATAATGTGCTATGATGTACTATAAAACAATTTTGCATGCGATGTCAAATTGGCTCAAGCGTCTGAAGTGCAGAAACATGTAAGCAGCCAAGCATGAGATTAAACGCGAAGGAATGGCAGATTATGGTTTTTTCTAGTATATTTTAGTATATTATGGTATATTATAAGTAAATGCTCAGGCTTGAAGCATACCCGCATTGCATCGCAAAAGTGACGACAAAGGACGAGCGGCCTTTTTGCATAGAGGTCAGACCAATGCTTACTTATTCATGATATGTCAAAACGCCGGGCACCCAGTCCTTGTCTTGCAGTGGTCCTGGATATTACTTCAAGTAACGAGAATGAAATGATCACGAGTAATTTTTATTTAATCATGATTAGTGCGTTTTATTATTGGTTTGTTTTGTTGTTGTTATTGTCATTATTGTTATCATGGTATGGCCCTAAACCCTAAACCTAGGGAAGTGAAGTCCTGGATGTTTCGTTTGACCCTGGTTGTGTTTGGCTCTCATTGGGTTGTGCAGGCTTCTGAGCTAGTGTTGATGGGTTTAGGGTTTTAGGGTTTAGGGTTTAGGGAATACCCAAGCTGTGCCGCAGGGGGGCCTCTATGTCCTACACTCTGAACCTAAACCACGGAGCCTTCAAACCCTGAACTCCAAATTCTCATATACTATAATACCACAACATACCATAATCTACTTTATTGTACCATGATATACTATATTATACCATAATATACCACCACAAGGCTTGAACCCCACATCTTGGCATCAAAAGTCTGAGAGGCTTGACAAGCCCTACATCCTCAATCCTTAGCCCAGCTCTAAACCCTATAGACCTTCTCAGGGAAGCCGCCCTACGAACGAATCGATCGGGACGTTGCCCGACGCTATGAGCTGATTTCTCGCATCGGGCGCGGGAACGGGCCTGAGCTGTTGGGGTACGGGGTTGACGGTTTAGGGTTGAAGGTTTAGGTTTAGGGTTCGGGGTTCAGGGTTTAGGGTTTATGGTTCAGGGTTTAGGGTGTAGGGTTTGAATTGTGGGTACCTTGTCGGGGTTCCCTATGAACGGATTTTAGTATTTGCATGCATAATTTGGGGTCTCCCGTTTAGGGAGAGGAAACTACTCTATCTTCTAAAGTTTAGGATCCCTCCCAACTGTAGTTGTATATCCCCACGTCAGTCCCCGAAATAAGAAACAAAAAGTACATCCAAATTTTCTAAACGCGAGGGGGAAGTTTTGCACCGGAAGGCAGCGGCTTATACAAGAAAGTCTACTGTCGTGGTCTTGTCCTTCTTAGTGTTGCCATATCCCGCCTCTAAACCTAAACTCTAAACCCTAAACTAAACCCTAAACTCTGAACTCGAAAACCCTAAACCTATTATTCAGGAAGGCCAAAAGTAAAACTTTTAGGACCAATCCTACAGTCCTACAGCAACAAGGCAAACTGGTTCGCTTTCAACAGCTCCCCAGAACCCCTAAAGGATCCAAAGAATGAAGCCCCCCCCAAAAGTGGCTCCACACTACTACATTGGGGAACCTAGAGGATTACTGAGGGGTTCCATTTTTTGGATCCTTTGGGGGGTCTTGGTCAGGTGCTATGGCGTGGTCTTTGAGGTCATGCTGCGGGACTGCTGTGGTTGGGGATGGGGAAGAGTTTCGCATCATCGGTTCGGGGAGAGTGTCACCTCATCGGTTTGGTTAGGTCGCAAGTTTCCCATGATCCCGAAGGGCCCCCATTTTGAGATACTCTAAACCCTAAACCCTAAGCCCTCTATTCTTCTATCTCCTCTGCAAGAACCAAGACGTAGCATTACCTCGTCGCCTTAACCCTCCAACTTAAGGACGCTATGACACATGAGCCATAGTCTAAACTCCTTAAAGGGGGGTTATATAGGGGATTGCATAGGGCACTACTATAGGGGATGGCTCATATGATATCTCTACAGTAATGTTGGACCTTCTTTAAACTCTTAACCCGCCCCCACCCCTAACAATAGAGGGCCCAGGAAGTTAGAAAGTAGGCGTCCTGAATAAGGTTCCCACGGTACTGAGCGCCCTGGGAGGCCTCGAGGATTACTTGAAAAGGGAGGTTCTGGATTCGGTCCTGTACTTTTACGCCTCCAAAATCTAAACACATTTCTCAAGGTCTTGGCAACAATGGCCAGACTTTGAACAAGCGGCGGCCAAAACACATTATTCAAGGTCTCTTCACTAAAGCCAGTACAACAGTTAGAGTCCAAGCTAGTTGCTAGTTACTGTCACTCTTTCTATTACGTACTCCTTGCTCTTTTAACCTTAAACCCTCAAGTCTATATCTTCATGATGCCATGGTTCTTTACGGAGGACCCCACCAAGTTTGACAAGTACGCCATGAAGAAGGCCATATGCAGACAGGGATTTCATATCGAATTGTGTGCTGATCCCAGGGGAATTGTGTAAGGTAGTATCGGGAGTATGTGAGGATTTTATAGTCTTTCAGACGTGGGACATAATTCCTTTAGAATTTCTAGTAAGGACCCCCATATTCCTCTTCTAATCCGAAGACATCCCTAGGGTCCCTGAAACCCCGTGTTTTCTATTGAAATCAGATACAGATGTTTGAGGACTAGGGTTTTAGGGTTTAGACGTTTGAGGGATAATAGGTAGGAGTTTCTCAAGTTTTTGGATCTGGGACTTTCTCAAAGATTAGAGAGGGTTGAGAAAGACCCTTCGGAACACCGAGCAAGAACCTGCACTATTGGGGGTGTATGATCCTGATCTTAAGAACAGACAGTGCAATACCTTGAACATGTCCGGCCCCCCGCACGGTCATGTCGGCTGGCTTCGCGCGACGCGACCCCCTACCTAGGTTTCAAACCTGCACAACCCTGCAACCGAAGAATGACTGTACACATTAAAACCTCACACTATGTGCATGTATATATATATGTATATATACACACACACACATTTCGGATGAGGGGGGCACGGAAGAGGATGATGCCTCCCTGCCAAGTCTTTTTGCCCACCGCACCCCTGCAAGCATGGAACAGGTCCTGTATGCCTTCAACAATGCAACGGATGCTCAGCGAACATACAGAGAGGCCGGCAAAGGAAGTTATCATGGCTACAGTCAAGCTGTCAGACTACTTGCTGGTTGCTCCCAGGGAATGCAGGGATGGAAAAGGAACTGGAAACTAGTACATATGTAGTAGGTTATAGAGCGGCCACGACAGGGATCCATCCTACATTCTCAGACCCTTTTGAGGTGTCATACCTCATGGAGTTCGGCAGTCACACAAACATCCTGTATGCGCCGCTCTGAGATGCTGTAAGCAGAAGGGTCCAGGCATTGTGAAGCTCAAGATCCAGTCGTCTACTGCCGCTGCCAGGTACATGATGTACTTGTTTCTGCTGATGACAAGCACCTCTATATTGTCGCATCCTGAGCCCTGCCAATGTCGGAGGTTGATGTTCTAGCTGCATAGTTTACCTGGTGACAAGGTCACAGACTTGATGGAGTCTGACTTGTGCAAAGCCATTAAGCTCTTTGACTGCAAGCAGACTTTGAAAGTCACAGAGTTCCGATACTTGTAAATTCTGCCATTGCAGGTGCAACTGCTTGGGCATTGTGCACAAGTCTCTTATCTCATACCAAGTGCTCCGAGCTCTCAAATACATCCACTCTGCCGGAGTGATGCACCGCGACTTGAAACCGGGCAACATTTTTGTCGACAGGACCTGCCAGGCAGGGCGCTTGATATGTGTGGTCATTGCATGCAGCTAGGTGTCCACACGGACGGGGCAGGGAGCCTCCTGCATCCCCTGTTATCAACCAGTAAGCTATTCGTTTTCCTCCTCTGACTCCTGCCGGGGCTCCTTCTACCTTTGCATCTCTCTGGCGTTTTTTTTTTCTTTCTGAAAAAGGATACGATGATATGGTGGTGACAACAACAAGTCCATACTACAGCGACCGCGAAGAAGTATGCATAAGTATAAGTTTGAGAAGCAACTCGGCCCTGAAACCCATATATTGTCACTGGAAAGAGGAACTTATAATTCATTCTGTATCCAAATGCTGGCCCTGAACCAATACAACTCTCCAAAGAGGATTTCCCTAGATTCATTACCATACGCGTCCCTTCAGTGAGGTTCCCATCATACCTCGGGTCCCTATATAACTTCTTCCATATAAGCTATCGTCTAAACTCCTAAAGGGGGGTTTCATAGGGGATTATATAGGGGATGACTTTAGGACTTATTAAGGACTTATTAAGGGGGATACTAGGAGTTTTGACTACAACCCCTATAATGCACTACATAACCCTATATATATATATATAGCAGTTTCCATTTCATTTTCCATTTTCTTTTCCATCTGATTCTCCATTATTAAGGGGGATACTAGGAGTTTAGACAATGGCTCATATCAGGGACAGATCTTAGGCCAAGTCCCCTTTTGTAGTTGAGGTCTCGGTTGAGGTCTCGGCGTAGGGCATCCCTAGTCCCTCCACTCCAAAACCTGAATCCTTCACCCTAAACCCCAAACCCTGAACCCTACATCCTTAGGGTTTAGGGTTTAGGGTTTAGGGTTCCAAAGCCTAAGCCCTAAACTCACATGTTTCAGGTGTTGGTTGGCGACTTTGGCCTGGCGCGATCCTCGTGCACCTGGCTACTTCATATGGGGGCTTCCCAAAATTAGGGGTACCTGTAAAGGGGTAAATTATGTAGGTAGGGTATACAAGGAGAAATGGGATTTAGGGTTTCTTAAACATGTGGGGTACCTTTAAATGGGTTAGGGTTTAGGGTTTCCCGAAACTAGGGGCACGTTGAAATGGGTTCTGTAGGGGTTAAAAAGAGTGCCTTAAGGTTTTGGGATTGGGTCTTGGGGTTTAGGGTCTGGGGTTCAGAGTCGAGGGGTGAGGGTTGGAAGCCTAACATGCTTACCCTTGAGGAATATCGGATAATATAGGGATTGCACAGGGATATAAAGCCCCAATAATTAACAGTCAAATGGACAAGAACATCGAACATGACATGGGAACAGGGTGTATATAGGGTTTTAGGGATTTAGTTAGGGTTTTGGGACAGATGGTGTGGGGATTTGGGACTTGGGGTTGGGGGTTTTGGGGTGACAGGCGTGGCGGGTGGGAAGGGTTTTCCTTCATGAAAGGCTCATCATGGGTGTGGTCTGGACGTATCCTTATGCTGACCTCAACGACCCTGTCCCCTAAAAATGCTTTCAACTTCTAGTGTGGGACGGGCACACGTGATTGACCACAGCAACATATCCAAATGCCAGGTTTCCTTCGCAAGGACCCTCAAAAGAAAAACATATCATCCCCATATACCCCCCATATGAGCTATAGTCTAAACTCCACCCTATAATCCCAGTTTCCATTTCATTTTCCATTTTCTTTTCCATTTGATTCTCCATTATCCCCATATATCCCCCATATAACATCTGTAACCCCTGAAGACCTTGAACCATGAACCGTGCTCCATGAGAAGCATCAATTGGCAGTCTTGCCAGGCCTGTGGATAACTCCTCCACTGATCCACTGGCCTGTTTAGATGTCGTGAAGGATGTTTGGGGGGTTTAGGGTTCAGGGCCTGGTGTTAGAGGAGTTAGGGTTTGGGGTTTTAGGGGTTAGGCTTTGAGGCTTTTGAGTCGGGATTCGGGTTTGGTGCTCTGATGTGTGTTGAGGGAAAGAAGAAACAGGGACCTGTAACCTATGGTCCCTCACGGGTTCCCCGTGGACTTTACGTCCTAAGCCGTAACTCCTGAGTCTCTGCTGACTGTAGCCTGCGCCAGCTGCATTCAGAAATAGTAGTTTCCCTGAATAGGCGGACCCAACATAGACCCCAAGATGCTATAATCCTTTTTATGAAGGACCCCAAAAAGGCACCCCCAATTTTGGGAAACCCTAAACCCCAAATAGTAGGTTCCATTTTCTTTTCCCTCATCCCAATATATTATAAAACTATAACCCAGAATTGAAACCCGTAGTAATTTTGGGAAAGTCCCACCAAATCTTCGTGCCAGGACGGGATCATGTCCGGCCACTCAGGAAACTGTGGGGTTTCTGTGAGTTTCTCAATACGAGCTATAGTCTAAACTCCTCAAAGGCAACAGGGGATTATACAGGGGAGTACTATAGGGGTTGTTAAGGGGGATTTTCGGAGTTTAGACTACATGGCGTACCCTTGCCAATCCGATTATGGACCCGTTCCAAGATTTTGGTTTCTGGGGTTTAGGGTTTATAAATCCTGGGATATGGCCTTCTTAAGGTTAATTAAGTTTGTAGTGACCCTAAAGTCTAAATCCAAATCCTAAACCCTAAACCCTAAACCCAAATCTCAGGCGTAAAAGGCCGTTGCAAAAAAAAATCCAAATCTCAAGGCTTGTTTGGTTGTTGTGAGCTGAGGTTGACTGACTACATCGGTCCGCGCTGGCGCGCCGAAGATGTTGATGGATTTTGGGGAGTTCCATTATGAACGGTTTAGGGTTCAGGGTTTAGGGTACCATTGTAGGGGGTCCCATAATAAGGATTATGTTTATATATCAAGGTCTATATTTTTAGGGGTCCCCATAATAAGGATTCCACTCTATGGGTATATGGTGGTCTATATTGGCGGTTCCCTTCTTTTGGGAAACTTCTTTTTATGGCGGCGGTAATTTTTTTTTCCGAAGGATTCCGAAGGGTCGCAATGAAAAATAGGAGATTTGTAGAAGGACAGTGCCTGTTTCATTATCATTATTATCGCTATTACAACTATCATTATTATTGCCATTACCATTGGTATGACGAGTAGGGAATAATTTTGAAAACCTGAAGCATTGCCAGAGGTACGAGTTGATTGCTATGCATTAGGTAGACCCCCCACCCAGTAATAGTGACTATAAGGGATAATAGGGATTATATAGGGACCCTATAGGCACTATATAGGGACTATAGGGCTCTAGGGTTTTTAGGATTTAGGTTCTAGGATAATAGTGACTAACAGGGATAATAGGGATCATATTAGGGGTCCTCTTATATTCCTATTATACCACTATTACAGGGTGGGGTCCTCCTAAGCTATGCAACTCTCCTTTTTTGTTCCATGATGATGCTTTCCTGTCACTGTGCTGCAATACCAGGATTGTATTGTACCACGTCGTAGAACAGGATGGTAGGTCTGCCATGCTGTAGAAGCTGCACATTGCTCCTGCGTTGATTGTTGTGAGCTATTGAAGCCTAAATGCTAAAGCCTAAACCCTAAACCGCTGCAGGGTGTCTAGTATTAGCTATAGCACTGTGAGACAAATCTCGTTGGCCGCAAGGTACCGAAGTCCGGAGCAGCTCCTAGGTGCAAGGCAGCTGGGAAGAGGGTTTAGGGTTTAGAAGCTCATTTGGGGTTTCACACAATTAGGATTTAGGGTTCAGGATTTAGGGATAGCACCCTCAATATTGGAGAATCAAATGCAAAAGAACGGAAAATGAAATGGAAACTTGGGATATACAGGGGCTTAATAGGGGCCAGGGTTTGGTACCATTTCGGGGGGGTCCCCAGCACAAGGATTGTAGTATTTTGGGGTTCCCTTTATATTGGGAAACTAGCATTTTTCGGAGTTGCGTACGGACTCCAAGGTTGTTCGGTAGCACATTGACGTGATTCGGCTTCTGGGGGGCATGATGTTGATGAGGTATTTGTAGAGTATTCAACAAGGGCCCATTCTCTTAAGTACAGTCCAAATCCTAAGTCCCTGAAGCCTTTTACCCCCAATTCCTGAAGCCCTGCACCCTAAACCCCACGGCTTAAAATCCTAACTTTCCACATCACTCTAAATAAATGACTTGCCCCCCAGATTCTTGAACCCGAAACCTGTCAAACGCCTGAAGCTCCAAATTCCAAATCCGCTAAATCCCCAAATCTTCAGAATCAGAAATGCTATTTCACCCCCAGCCTCCCCAAATTGCATAACCCATTCGCCCGAGATTGGAGTTTTAATTCGCCTTGTTGGAATTCCTGAGAATTAGGATAGTCGTGTTTTTGGGTACACAATCGGGACGCCTGCTTTCAGAAGGCCCCCGACTAGATAGCGCAAAGCCCAAGTGATGCTTAGGTAAACGGTAAACTGCTACAGTCTTGGAGGTTTAGGGTCGAGGGTTTGGGGTAGTATAAGCATGGTAGCCTTCCTCATCTACTAGAAATTGGAATTAAATTCTTTACGCTGTCATACTATTGTTCTTGTAATGTAGCGCGAGTTTTTCCGTTGAATCAAACGCCTACATAGCCCCCAAATGCCAAGATCCTGACCCCGAACCCTAAATCCGAAATCCAAGACCCTTAAATTCGAAATCCCAATCCTAAAAGAAATCCTTAACCCCATACATCTTACCTTAACCCTAAACCCTAAACCCTAAACCCTTACCCCCCAGATGCTATTTCACCGCTGTGGACATCTGGGCCTGGGGATGCGTGGTCGCGGAGATGCACCTGGGGGACTGCCCTGGGGGGTTTTAGGGTTTAGGCTTTTAGGGTTTAGGGTTTTAGGGTTTTAGGGTTTTTAGGGTTTTTAGGGTTTTTAGGGTTTTAGGATTTTTAGGGTGTAGGGTTCAGGGTTTTAGGGTTTTAGGGTTTTTAGGGTGTAGGGTTCAGGGTTTTAGGGTTTAGGGTTCAGCGTTTAGGGTAGGCAGGGTGTAACGAGCAGGTCATCATAAGGTTATATAGGTTATATAGAGATGTAGGGATGATATGGGGATCATATAGGAATGCCATCCCCAATGATTGAGAATCCCCTGGAAAGGCAATTGAACAATTACATGGAAACTGGCATATCGGGCTTGATAGAAATTCAGTTTCGGGTGTCAGGTTTACTGTCTAGGCGGGGTATGGTGCTGAGTTTAGGTTTTAGGTTGTGGGCTTTGAATTTGAGTTTCGAGCATTTTAGGGTTCATGGCTTTGGTTCTCGGCTTTAGAGTGGGTTTGCCGTCGGAGCAAGCGGGGGCTTCTGAACAAGGAGCAACCTAGCCAAAGGTGGGGATCAACAAAGGATGGTTGAGTCCCCTTTAGGGATTTCAGGTGGACCTTTGGAGAAAATCCCCATGTTTTTATGGTTGCGTTCGCAGTTTTCATGGCAATTGTGCGGATTGTATAGCTTTCAGCGCTTTGAACTGTCTGTGAGGGCATGTCAGCATTTCGTTATGATACGACAAAAGCCTCCATGAGCCTAAGCATGCCACATTATCATGAAGCCCGAGTTTCAGGTACATATAGTCATGCAGAAATTTGACCATCAAGCGAATTAACGTGTTCCCAGGGTTGCAATGTTGTGGCACCTATCCATTGCCATCAAAAACTGCCACTGACATTGAGTTTTACTGTTACACATCAGGGCTTTGTCTGTGCTTTTGTACCTTTAAGATGTCGACGACGTTGCTAGGCCTCAGGCCGTCCCACAACTATGTATAACCGTACCATGCTGTTGCACCTCTAATCCTATAGAAGTTTCCATTTTGTTTCCATTATCCCTGTATAGCCCTAATATATTCCATTCCTATTACAACGTAGTAAAGTCTCCACTTTCTTTTCCATTATCCCTATAACTTAGCTACTTCCTGGCCCAGAACCTTTTCAAGCTCATCCGCCGCAGAAACCCATCCTCAAGGGCTCCTCGACAATTGACATGATGCACAATATTGTGGGGCCCTCGGTGTGCTGTTCCTGCGGAGTTTAGAGTAAGCGTGTATCTTCCATTTGCTTGCAACATTACATAAGGATAATATGCAGTCTGATTAGGTTCAACCATCCCCGAAAACCCCCACTTGCGTTGCGTTCCAGGTCGAGCTCCTTGGCACACCACTGGAGGCAAGGCAACTGTTGGGGTTGATGCAGACAGCGGGTTTCCTTGTATCTGTAGAAGTTTAGGCAACATCCCATTTGCTGGCAGCAGTTGCTGCTAGCACATGCAGGCAGATGTCGACGCCATGCAAGTCTGGTGCTGATGTTTTTGTTTTTTTCTGATTGATGCTGAGTTGCTGGAATGTAGCCGGAATGTCTACATGGCTGCCGCTCAGGCCCAATATGCGCACATGTCGCTTGGGCAGCTGCCAATCTCGTTGCCCACGCCCTGGCAACTTTCGACTGTCCTGTTGCTGTTCGGCAAGGCATAATACCTGAGACACAACACTGCACAGTGCTTGAGGCCTACCCTCGCCTTTGGAGAGATCATCCCAGACTGTTCGCAAGTTCTCTGTGATCTTCTGGAGTTGTGTTTCCAGGCAGGCCGCCCTTCTTTTGAGGAAGTTGCTAAGTAGTTGCACTGGCAGTAGAATTCTGCACATCCGGCTATTGTTTGCCAACAGATGCACGCGCTGCCTTGCTTTCAGAATCTGCATGCGCTTGTTTGGACTTAGCAGCTTGCAGACTGTGTGTTCCTTGCGTCGCTGGCCAGTGGAATCCGATGAAACGGCTGACTGCAGTGGAGGCACAGTCAGTCATCTGAGTGATATTTTCTTTGGGGATGTTATGGCGCCCGATAGAGAGTAAGATTATATTCTCCTTCTGGGTATAGTATTTTATATGCAGAATATAATCTGACTTGTTTCGACCACCACAAAATGCTCATCATCTGAGAGTGCGTGGAAGGTAGATTAACAGGAATGTTACTAGTAACAATAGCAGCAACAATAGTTGTCAGAGTAATAATTATGATGGTGGCTTTGGGTTCATTTGAACCCTCACCCTGAACCCCCGAAACCTAAACCTTCCAAACCATACACACACTAAGCCCTAAATCCCTAAGCCCTAAATCCAAAATCAACTCCAAAAACCCTAAGCCCTTAACCCAAATCCCTAAACCCTAAACCCTAGACCCCAATCCCTAAACCCCAAACCCTAAATAGTAGTTTCCATTTTATTTTCCATTATCCCAAAATAACCCCTATATAACCCTTATATAACCCCTATATAACCCTTATATAACCCCTATTATATCATATATCTAACCCTAACCCCCCTGCACTTTCTCTCGCTACTTGTTGCCATTCCCCG